GGGGCCTCAAAGGCCAGCGTCAGTGCGGCTCTGCCACCGCCAGGCCTGCCAGGGGGCCCCTCTGCCCTCCTGCAAGTGGCTCCCCTGGGACAACCACCTCAGGTCGTGTTAGCCCCAACGGGGTCCTGGGTCACCTCGGCTTCAGACCGAAGCATTTTTCTCTGGACTCTGGAGGGAAACAGGTTGAATCTTGGCTCTGCCTCTGACAAATCCCCCTGCCTGCCTGATCCTCACTCTCCAAATCTGTCCACTGCTCAGACCTGCCCTGCGGTGCAGAGTTCTCAGAGATGGGAGTGGTCACTCTGCAGGTCCCCGGCCCCGTGCTCAGCTCCCAGGAGTGCCCGACCCCCCTCACCGGCACCCACCCTTGAGCCTGGGCAGGGCCTGGGCAGACGTACCACCCTTGGCCTTGGTGCTGGGTTTCCGCCCGCGCCCCCGGGCCTTGGCTCCTGGCTCCTCGGACCCTGCCGTGCCCCCGTCCTTGCCTTCCCCGGTGTCTTTGCTGGTCTTCCGGCTGCGGCGCTTGGCGCTTGGCACCAGGAGGGCCGGGGACGGCTCCGCACCTGCAGGCGCAACGCACAGGGGCTCAGGCCCGGGATCCCCTCTCGGAGCTGCCGGACCCGCTGCCCCGGGGAGTGGGAACAGACGCCGAGGCTGGCCCCGGGTGGGTTTCCCCAGCAGGCTGAGAGGTCTGGCAGGTAGAGGGGCTGGTGGCCATCGGGGAGGGGGAAGCAGCCAAGGTGTGTGTACACCAGCCGCTCAGCAGGGCCCTCGAGCGAATGAACTCACAGAAAGCGCTTTGGGGAACTTGGAAGGGCTGAACACAGATGCTGACTTTCGTTGTTGCTTTTAGAGTCAGAGCCTCGCTGTCGCCCGGCTGGAGGCGTGCAGCGGTATGATCATAGCTCACTGCAGCCTCCAACCCCTAGGCTCAAGCAATCCTCCTCCCTCAGCCTCCTGAACAGCTGGGACTCCAGGCACGCACCACCACGCGCAGCTAATTTTTAAGTTTTTTGTACAGATGGGGTCTTACTATGTTGCCCAGGCTGGTCTCAAACGCCTGGCCTCCAGCAATCCTCCCGCCTCAGACTCCCAAAGTGCTGGGAGTACAGGTGTGAGCCACCACACTCAGCTGGTTTGTTGTTTGGATGACCCACTTAGGAAACATTCACAACCTCAGATGCCGTCAACCGCGGGGACTCAGGCAGTGCTGGGTCCAAGTCCTGACTCTTCCTCTTACTAGTGGGAGCACCCTGGATGAGTCCATCCCCTTGAGCCCAGCACTGTCCCGTCATTCACAGGGGATGGCAGTGCCGACCACGCGGGGCCGAGGCCAACATTCGATGCTGAGCCCGGAACTGCCAACAGCAGTTCTTGATCAGCCTGCCACGGCCTGGGCCCCTGGGCCTGGCACTACCCTCAAAGGCCATGGGACACGGGACTGCAAGGCCTGAGACACCCTCTCCCCAGCCCTGCCTGGACACCCCCACCATGGTTTCTGCCGTGTCCATCCCTGTGGGTCCAAACGGCAGGCAGAGCCCAGAGCCAGGCTCAGAGAGCAGGGGCGCCGGTGTCACGGGTTCGCCACTCACACTGGATCTTGTAGTCAGGAGGCAGGAGGCGGATGTGCGAGAGGGGAATCCTCCCCGTGTCGCCGTCGTCAAACTCCACAGTGATCAGGTCCCCATCGTCCTCCAGGTCCAGCAGCCCTGTGGGAGGAGGGGGGTCAGGGGAGGCCCTCGGACCCCCGGCTCCCTGGCAGGACACAGGACAGGGGACGCAAGGCCAGCCCACACGCAGCCCTGGCCTCTAAGGCATGGCAGTGGCGGCACCGGTGGGGAGTATACAGTGGTGCAGAATATGGGCCTCACAGCCGGGGGGGTCTAGGCAGGAGTAACGGCTCACCCGTTTCTAGCTAACTCTGGGGGACATGCAACAGCCACGCCCACTCATGCCCAAACCTCCCCAAACAACAGTAAAGGAGGAGTGAAGCATCAGCCCTGCAGGACACAGGAACAGGCGGGGGGGGGGGCGGCAGGTGGGAGACGTCGGGACGGCATGTGGGAGCTGACCCCCTGGTGCCTGGTAGGAGGCGATGTGAACAAGGAGGTGGTTTTCCCAGGAGGACCCTGCCGAGGCTCGAGTCCAAGGCACCAGGCACCTCTGGAGATGGAGCCCGGGGACCCCCAATACTGAACAGGCTGAGGGTCACGCAGCGGCAGGAGCCGGGACCCCTAGAGAGGCTCCGGACTGAAGGACACTGGGCACAAGTGAGGAGGGCGTGTGGGCCCCCACCCAAACCAGGGCTTAACAGGGAAGTCCACACACGGAAGGCACCACCCCAGGCCCCCTCCCGAATGCCAGCGGCTAAGCCTGTATCTCCAAGGGCGTGGGGAAGCCGGCGGGCTGAAGGAAAAAGACCTGCTTGTGCTGGTCCATTCCTGCCCACCCCGTAGCGAGGCTTTGCTCGCTGACGTCTTGTGCATGAAGGATCGCCAGGAGGTAAAGGGCCTCTAATGAGAGGGAGAGGAAGAGCACAGAGCAGACAGACAGAAGGAACAGGGGGCCTGGGAGAAAGGGGAGCCAAAGACACCTAAAAGGAAAAGGGATCTTCTGAGACATTTTCTAAAAGGCAATGTGCTGATGAAAGAAAAAGACTTTTTTTTTTTAAGAAATATTCAGGGAAAAAGAAAGAACTCTTGAGAATTTTTTAATGACGGCAGAAATTTCTTTAAATTCAAGAGAACAGAAGGGATTCGAAATATAAAGTAGAGGAAATATCCTAGAAGGCTGAACAAAATAAGGAAATGGACAATAACAGAAAAAATATACAAGCATGAAAAGTCACCGGACTAGAGCAGGTTCCAGAGACGACAGATCGAGGGATAGTATCCAAGTAATATTACAAGTGGAACTTCTAAAATTCAAGGAAATGGACTTTACTATCAAAGCCTCCTTCCCAGACAGCCAGCAGGGCACACACACACACACACACACACACACACACACACACACACACTCCCCGATCTAAGGATAATGAGAAAATCCTACGCGTTTTCCAAGAGGAACAAAACAGGTCTTCTGCAAGGATAGGGGTCTCAGAATGGCCCTCAACTTCCCAAACAACTCCTAAATCCAGCAGGCGCTAGATCAGAAATGGGAGCGAGGACGCTGAAATGTGAGGGGAAACGAAGTCCCATCTAGAATTTACACCCAGTTCAACCACCGCTGAAGAATGCGGGCAGGACAGAGAGATCACAGACACGTGAGGATGTGAGGGATACATCCCCCGGGTGCTTTCTCAAAAAGCGACTGAGGACCCTCTGCCAAGACCAGGGGCTGAACCAGGAGCGAGAAAGGCACCGGCTGCTTCAGGAGGGTCGGAACCACAGCAAGGGGACGGCCCAAGCCCGACACTGGGAGCTAGCCTGGGAAACAGCTGGCACCCACAGTGCGAGGCCCCGGGAGACGTGACTCCAAGGCAAGCTTTCACTATCCTAACAGCACTTTCAGAGCTTCGGTGATAAACTTGTGACTCGTGGATAGAAAAAAGGCGTCCTCGCAACCTGAGACCCTGTGGCTCAGACTGTGCCAGTCATCTGCTGTGTTGCCAGCCAGGCACCCGTGTCTCTTCACTGGGTGTGCCTGGAGGCGGCCAAGGGGTGGACGGTATTTGGCTTGTGGGTATTTGGCTTTGTTTTTGGTCGAAACCAACACCCGCACAAGGCACCTCCTGGAGATGCCGGTTTTGGAGAATCTAAGGGGTGAACCATTGAGCATCTGCCTTTTTCTCCTCCTGACACCCACACCCACATCTTCTGGGCACCTGTGATCTGTGTCTACCAGCTTCCCTCTCCTCATCCTGCCGATGACATCCCAGCTCTCCTGGGGAAGCCACGTACCCACCCGCCCTCAGTCCACGTGGGAAAGGAAGCCAACCTCGCTCCTCAGCCTCAGGGGTGAGAACATGAGCCAGGCCCCCGCCGAGCAGACTCACAGCGGTAGATTCCACGAAAACCACGCAACCCGAGTAGCTCACCCCAGGACTTGTGTGGGGAAACCTGGGGACCGAGGAATTCTCCAGCGACAGGATTTGCGAAGATGGTCAAATACAGCCCCCACAGAGCTAGTGGGAAGCCAGCATGGAGGAGAGCACTGTTGACAGATCCCGAGAGAGGGCGTGACCAAAAGCAACGTTCACATGGCGCCTGGATCCAACCGTACCTAGGCCCTCCAGTTCTCAGTCACGTGAGCCCATAAGTCTTTACCCTTGAGTCAGCTAGAGTTGGGTTTCAGCCACCAAGTGAGTCCATACTGGCATGTTAGGAAACGGGAGGGGGGGAGAGGGGCCGCCTCACCTCGGACCACGGTGCCCGGGTAGAGACAGCGGTACTGCTGGCTCCAGTAGGCTGCGATCCTGGTCCCTTGCGGCAAGAAGCGCGTGGAAGCCGGCCTCACGTCGATGATCTACAGGGCGTGGGATTGAGCGCCGGCGGGGATCAGGCCACAGCGGTAGCCATGGCCTCCAACGCCCTCAGCCCCAAGGTTCCTCCCCTCCCCTTACCGCCTCCTGCAGCAGCTGCTCCAGACAGTAGATGTGGGGTCGGTTGCCGCGCTCGCCCTCCACCACCACACGATATCTGCGGGGCCGGGACAAATGTGGCATGAGGTGGCAGAGGCTGAGAAACGCCCCCCAAGGGACCCCGGCCCCAGCACCACCAGTTCTGCCTCCCAGACCCTGGGAGGAGGCATCGGGCCTCAGACCTTCTGACTCGCTAGAACTCGGGCAAATTTGCTCTCCTCTGGGCTTGGTCTCCTGGACTGTGTCACTCGGGGCTGGGCCGCACAGCAGCTGGGCCATCCAGTTTGGACCCCAGAGAGGCCAATGCACTCTACCGCCCTTTCACGCCGGGACTCCTGCCACAGGCAGTCGTGCCCAGCGGGCACCCCAACCCTGCAGGGCACCCCGTCTGCTCTGAGCCCTGCCCTGTCCTATGGGGAAAAAGTCACAGCCCAGAGAGGGCAGCAGCTGCCGGGAGGACAGGGGCCGCCCGGACCCAGGATCCAGTAGGCCAGGCCTCCGGCGGCCACGCGCACACTCACATGTCCGGCGAGTGCACTGTCTGCACGTGTCCAGCGTACAGCAGCTTGTCGTCCATGGGGATAAGCACACGCAGGCCGTCCTTCAGCTCGTCCTTGTCGATGATGCAGGAGCGGGGGGCTGTGGGGGCCAGGCCATGAGCCGGGGCGGGGCTAGGCAGCTGGGAGACCCCCTACGGCCATCAAGCCTCGGGACGGAGGCCCAGGGAGCCTGCGTGGGCCCACGGGGCTCAGCTACGGGCACCCATCTTAGCCATGCGGGCTGTGAGCACAGGCCAGCGCACCCGCGCCTGTGCGGCTCTCTCGTCGCAGCCCCGCCCAGCCTGGATGCCTGGAAAGACGCCAGGTGGGGTGAGTCCCCCCCATCCAAGACCCACATCCTCTGCGCCTGGGCATGGAGCACCGGGTCATCAGTGCCGCCCTGTCCTCGCTGCCATCCTGCCATGACGTTCGGCAGCCCCCACTGCTGCCCCCTCGGCCAAACCTCCAGGCTTTCCAGCCACCGTTTCCCTTTCCGGTGGAAACCAGCGCCCCAGGCAGACTCCCCAGGTGGGTGGTCGGCACCCGCCCCCAACACCTCCCCCTCCACCTGCAGCCGCCTTCTCTTGAGCCCCGCTCCCATCGCTAGACTCGACTCTCAGTGGCATCAGCCCTGGCTCCTGGGCCTGCTCTTCCTTCTTGATGGGAACTTTAGCCCAGTCTTCCCCCTTGTCACTGCTCATTTTATTTTTAAAGACAGGCCAGAAGCGGTGGCTTATGCCTGTAATCCTAGCACTTTGGGAGGCCAAGGAAGGAAGATCGCTTGAGGCCAGGAATTCAAGCCCAGCTTGGACTACATAACAAGACCCTGCTCTACAAAAAAAAAAAGCCAGCCTCAGCTATTTGGGAGGCGGAGGTGGGAGCATCACTTAAACCTAGGAGTTACAGGCTGCGGTGAGCTATGATCGTGCCTCTACACCCCAGACTGAGTGAGCAAGACCCTATCTCTAAAAGAAAAGAGAAAAAAAAGCCAATGGCTTACAGGGGTAGACAGAACAATGGGGCCACTCCACCCCACCTGCACCAGCACCCATGCCTTCCCGTGGCAGAGGGGACTTCTTACGTCATGATGCTGGGCTTGGCTGTTTGACTCTTAAGGGCAGAAACGGCCAGAGGCCAACACTGAGCCTAGGTCCCGAGAGGCCTCCTGGGTCCCGCTTTCCCTGGTGAGCCTCCAGTGGTGCCCCTGGGAGACAACCACACCCAGCAGGGCCACGGGTCGAGCAGGCTACACAACCCATGGAGGGAGGACAGCAGATCTGCACCAGCCGACCCAACCACACCATCCCCACGGGAACAGGCCCCTCTGAGGTCAGCACAGCCACCCAGCGCTCTGAGGTGCAGGCAACGGGTTGTCACACAGCAGCCGCTGACCAGCACGCCTGGGGCGGCTCCTCCTTCCCCCCCCCCCATACCGGCCACTTCTCAGGGCTCCAGACTCCAGGCTCCCGGTGCCTCCTGGAGTCCCCAGGACTTCTCCAGGCGTCCCAAACGCCAGCCTCCAAAGCCCAGCGTGCAGCCCCGTGAGCCGAGTCTCAGGTACAGCTCTCCCCTAACCCCTGCAGTCTTCACCCTTCCTGCTCTGCCATCTGCCCCACAGAGCATGTCCCCTCTCTGCTAACGTGCTCACCCACCCCGTCTCCCTGTCGTCCCCACAGGCGCCCGGTTACTACAGGCTTGCCCGGATGGAGACAGCCTCCTCACTGGACTCCCTGCCTCCCCTCCGACTCAATCTCCATGCAGCAGTGAGACGGCTCCCTTAAAAACCCACTCGACCTGTCGCTCCTCCACGTGCAACCTCAGAGAGCTTCTTGCTTTCCTTGGGGTGAACACCAAACCCTTCCCAAGGTCCGTGAGACTTTGGGTGATCCACCTCTGCCTCCTCCCCAGCTTCTAAGTTGCAGTCAAACTGGCCTCCTTTCTGTGGGCCTCAGATAACCTTCTGCTCGGCACAGGGCCTTTGCACAGGCTGTTCTCCCGCTTTGCCCCTCCTGTCCCAGGCTGGGCTCAGATCTTCCTCCCCGCAGCCCCTCCTGCAGAGCACCAGGCCACCCACCTGGAGTCAGCGGTCGCTCCACGGCCCCACCTCGTGGCAGGTGCTCGTCCTCAGAGAAGCTGGAGTCCTGGTTGGGCTCAAAGTCTTCCTCGGCTGCCATGCTCTCCATCAGCTTGCTCACGGCACCTCCCTTGCCCCGGTTCTGGGGACAGAACACACCAGACCAACGGCTTAGGACAAGGCATGGGTGTCCCGCCCAGCTGGAGGCCCTTCCTGGAAACCCACGGCCACCACCAGGCCACAGAAGCATCCGCCATGTGCACAGCCAGGGGCTCAGCTGGGCACACCCCAGAGGCCAAAGGAAGGATGAAACAGGCCTAGATCCAGCTGGCTAGAGCGTGCACATACTCAGCACAGTACTCAGTACTCAGTGCTCTGTACAATACTTTTGCAGCAGAAGGCCTGATTCCCTCCTTAGAGAAACTGAGGCAATCCCCAGCCACACTCAGTGGGTTTGAGGAGAAACAGTCTAGGCAGGGGCTTTGGGCACGAACACACGCACACCCTCATCCGTCAAAGGAGGGAAGAAATTAGCCCCAGGCTGAGGACCCTGGGGGGACCTGGCGCTGCACTGGGGGCCCCAGTGGCCCAACAGGTCTCAAGGTCATCATTCAGGCGTCCCCCCTCCCCGCTAGAGGGGCATCTGCTGGGGACAGGGGCCGGGTCCCGAGCACCTCCTCCCCCTCAGGGCACGGGGACAGCAGCTTCGCCCCCTCCCCTCTCTGAGCCTCGGCCGTGGAGAGGGCAGATGCAGAAGCAGGTGGAGACCCCGCCCCTGGCCTCGGGAACACAGGGTGGAATCGGGGTGCTGAGCCTCCCTACCCGGGCACCGGGCCCAGACCCGCGCCACCCCACGATGCCCTGCCTCACCTCCTTCTTCACCTCCTTCCCTCTGGCCTTGGACTTGCTTCTCTTGGCGGCGGCCAGTGAGCTGGCGTGAGGGGCCCTGGCCTCAGAGGGCAGGGCGGGAACGCGGGGTGGAGGCGGGGCGGCTCCTGGCCCGGCCTCCTTCCCTTTCTTCTTCTGCGGGGGGAAGTGGCAGAGCGGAGCCATCAGAAGGCAGGCGAGGTCCGGGGACCCCTGCCTGCTCCACCGACGCGCCCCAGAGGTTCTAGGCCACCCTGAGCACGCCACACCTGGAAGGAATGGACACTCCTCTGTCCCTGCAAGTGTATTTGCTTTTAATGTTAATAACCTTATTACTATTATATATCCCTGGCTGGCTCCCCGCCGAAAAGACCACCCTGAGGTGAATATAGTGCAGGTTCCTCTCCAATGACCCTCCTGCCAACTACACAGAAGTAGCCACTAGTAACAGCACAGCGAATCCTTCCAGAACCTTCCACAAGCACATGGAAACACAAAGGCTATGCAGACACTTTACACACACACGGTATTTTTTTAAACAGGTGGGAATTTACCAAAAGTCCCACTTGGCAACGTTTTTTGCCCGCACGACTGGACTACACAGAGGTGGCTTCGTCGTGTTTTATGACAGCGGCCCAGGGAGTGGAACCACAGTTCATTTCGTTTCGCCCCCACCCCACGGCGTGATGGGCCTGAAAACTGTCTCCATTTTTCACTCTTTCAAATGATGCCACAATAACATGACCTCACCAACAAGTCCTATGGGACGTAGTCCTGGAAGGGGAACTGAAATCGCTGGCTGGTGCCTATGCTGCTTCCAGAATGTCTACTCCGCCACGGCCCCTCGATGGGTGGGGCCTCCAGCCCCTCCCGAAGGCCTCCCAGGCGGAGACAACCAGCTCTTGTCCCCACTGGTCAGGGGCAAACTGGCCCAAACCTTTAAAAAACCAGCATCACAGACAGCTTCGTGTATCAGAGCAAAGAAGGAGAAACAGCCTAGGCATCCGGCGACCTGCTAGAAGCTCTGGTGTGTGGACACACACGGTGACACGCGTTCACGACGGCGGCTGATGTCGTGTTTTGAGCCAGAGCCAAGGGCACCAGAAAATGAAAATGATGACACTCTGTGCAATAAAACAGGACTCAAGCTCACAGCTGGCAAATCCAGAGGTTACAGCGGTGGGGGACGAGAGACTAACTCTCTGCTTTTTTCAAAAGGGACGTGTCTAAAACAAATGGCCAGGGCCAGGGGAGGTGGAGAATTAAGAAGCAGAAAAGGCTCATACAGGACAAATGTTACCAAGACAACAATAGAAGTCACAGCATCCGTATCTATCAAACATGCAAGTCAAAGCAGATGGCATCAAAAAGGCCAAAAAAGGACATTCTCTAGGGATAAAGGGATACAATTTAATCCCCATTTTGGAGGGGAACATTATACACAGACACACAGACACACACACACACACAAACAGTACTTTCTTGTTTCAGCTGCACATCTTAACCCTTTTCCTATTTCTGAAGTCAGAGGCAACTGAGGGGCTGAGGGAACGTTGGTGGCTCGGTCCCCTTATCTCTGACATCTGTCATTAGACAGTTCATCTCACCGTGCATGTCTTTGCAACTGTATGCACGAGGCAGGGGACAAAAGGAAATGACTGCAGAAAAAGTCCAAGTGGATTTTTCTTTTCTTCCTCTTCTTTATCATCTGAATTACTGTTATAATCAGATAAACCAGTAACTGTTTCTTTCCCTCGGACCAGAAAACCCATTTCTGGGAGCCCCACCCCCAGCTTTTTCTTTTTTCTCATAAGAAGATGGCTTCCAGTGTGACAGAAGCACTAGACACAGGACAGAGATGTCTGCCGCTTTGGTAACTACAATGGCCAAGGACCACCAGCACCCAAACCACCAACAGCCACAGGGACGGTGGCAGGAGCCGGTGCTAACTACGGGGTGCCCGGTCAGTGGATGGTATTTAAAATAGTGATTCAAACCAGGCTCGGTGGCTCAGCCTGTAATCCCGCGCCTTGGGAGGCTGAGGTGAGTGGACTGCCTGAGCCCACGGGTTCGAGACCCGCCTGGGCAACTTGGCGAGACCTCATCGTTACAATAAATCAAAAAAATTAGCCGGGCGTGGTAGCGCGCGCCTGTAGTTGCAGCTCCTTGGAAGGCTGAGGCGGAAGGATCGCCGGAGCCCAGCAGGTCGAGGCTGCAGTGGCCAGGAGTGGCCACTGCACTCCAGTATGGGCAACAGAGTGAGATTCCAACTCAAAATAATTAATTAATTAAAATAAAATAGTGATTCAAATAAACATAAAATGGAAATGCATGTGATACGACAAAAGACTGTACAAAGTCTAAAAAGCAGGAGACAGGAGTTCCCTTTTATCCAAGGTTTCACTTTTGGCGGTTTTAGTTACCTGTGGTCAGTCGAGGTCTGAGAATATTAGACGGAAAATTCCAGAAAATGAACAACTCTCAAGATCAACTGCACGTCCCGCCCCGCCTCGGATGCAACCCCCACCCCGTGCCCACTGTACCCACGCCGTACACACTCCTGCCCAACAGTCACTTAGTGGCCGGCTCCATCACCAACCAGATTCACATTTGTGGTGTCTAAGTGCTGGTGTCCAAATCACCTTCATTTTACTTAAAAATAGCCCCAAAGTGTAACAGTAGTGACCCTGGCGATTCAGACACGCCAAAGAGAAACCACAAAAGTGGTTCCTTTAAGTGAAAAGGTGGAAGCACTTGGCTTATAAGGAAAGGAAAAGCATCGTAGGCTGAGGCTGCTAAGATCACTAATCTTCCATCCGTGAAATTGTGAAAAGGGGGAAAAGAAATCCGTGCTAGTGTTCCTGTTAAACTCAAGCTGCAAGTGACAACTATGGTGTATGGTCAGTGCTTCTAGGACCGGGTTTAAACCACTGGGGGTCTCGAACCACATCCCCTGCAGATAAGGGGGGACTCCTATACACACGTATATCTCAAAAAAAGCATTCACAGGGGTTGTTCTTGGGGTGGTGGGGCGTGGACCATCTCCTTGGGTGTCGACTGTCCCTCTGTGGACAGTTCATCAGTTCAGTGTCAGTCTCTTGCTGTACCATCAAAAGGCTGGGACCGGGTGGGCCTCTGGTCCTCACCCCCAGCAGTGAGCCCTTCAGCTGTTCAGACACCAGGACGTGAGAACCTGGGGGCTCCAAGAAGCCGCATCTGGGGAAGGCCAGGGAGGCAGTGTGGCCCAGTGGCTAAGGCCCCCAGGAGCCTCAACTGATGCTAGGCTCCCAGTGCTCAAAGCTCACCTCCAGGAACCATTAGCCGCCGAGACCTTGGGCAGGTACTGGTCATCTTGTGGACCACCCATAAAGTACGACTAACATGAGAAACCTACTTCATGTGGTCCTGTGAGTGCTAAGTAAGTATGGGTCTGGGCCTACTATGGGTTGCCTGGGAGGGTCGTCATTATTATTTATATTGGCAACTGCCCTCCAAGGCCCTACAAAACACAAGACAGCCTCAGCCAGGAGAGGACAGAGGTGAGCACAAACCCAAGGTGCCTGTGGAGGGCGTGCACACGCAGCCCCGTCCTCACTACCACCCATCAGCAGGAAACCAATGCCAGTCTCATCCCTTTTCTGACTTTTCTCTAGTGTCTTTGCCATTGGAGGGTTCATCCTGTATCAGGGACTCCAGGTGGAGGGGCTGAGGCAGAATACTGTCAAAAGCAGGCTGTTAACTCTGAATGCAGCCACTTACAAAGGAAGCAAGTGACCATTACCTTCCTAGTAGCCGGTGCCAAAAGGGCAACAGTAGCCCTTAGCTTCCAGGTAGCCAGTACAAAAAGTCTAATTATCACAGAGCTCTTGAAAAGTAAGTTTTTGGCCGGGCTCGGTGGCTCAGCCTGTAATCCCGCGCTTTGGGAGGCTGAGATGAGTGGATTGCCTAAACCCGCAGGTTCGAGACCCGCCTGGGTAACTTGGCGAGACCTCATCTCTACAATAAATAAAAAAATTAGCTGGGCGTGGTAGCTTGCGTCTGTAGTTC